AGTGCAGTGGCGCAATCTTGGCTCACTGCAACCTCCGCCTCCTGGGTTCAAGTGATTCTCCTGCCTTAGCCTCCCAGGCAGCTGGGATTACAAGCGTGCACCACCATACCTGGCTAATTTTTGTATTTCTAGTAGAGACAGGACTTCACCATGTTGGCCCCGTCTCTACTAAAAATACAAAAATTAGCCAGGTGTGGGGGCATGCGCCTGTAATCCCAGCTTCTCAGGAGGCTGAGGCAGGAGAATCGCTGAGGAGTTCAGCTATTTTTGTTTTTAGAGACAGAGTCTTGCTCTGTTGTCCAGGCTGGAATGTAGTAGTGTGATCATAGCTCACTGCAGCCTTGATCTCCTGGGCTCAAGCGATCCTCCAGCCTCAGCCTCCTGAGTAGCTGGGACTACAGGCATCTGCCACCATGCCTGGCTAATTTTTTAATTTTTTGCCGAGATGGGGTCTCACCCTGTTGCCCAGGCTGGGAGTTCAGCTTCTACCCTGAGTGAGATGGGAGTCAGGGAGGGTGCTGAGCTGCGATGGGATGTTTGTAAGAGGACGTTTAGCAGTCTCTGGAATATCGTGACCACACTAGACAGTAGCCATGGTAACCATGATTTCTGATGCGTTTATTATTTTATTATTTGAAAGAGACTCTCCAAGTATTTCTTCTCCTCTCTATAGCTAAAGTGCTGTGGGGTGAATAACTACACAGATTTTTCTGGCTCTTCCTTCGAAATGACAACGGGCCACACCTACCCCAGGGGTTGCTGTAAATCCATCGGAACTGTGACCTGTGATGGACGCAATGTGTCTACAAACGTCATCTACCAGAAGGTAACTGGAGATTTTGTGTGTTCCCTTGACAGACCCCTGAGGGCTGGTGACTTTATTTTTATCTTATTTTGAGATAGAGTTTCACTCTTGTTGCCCAGGCTGGAGTGCAATGGTGCAGTCTCGGCTCACTGCAACCTCCACCTCCCAGGTTCAAGTGATTCTCCCGCCTCAACCTCCCAAGTAGCTGGGATCACAGGCATGTGCCACCACACCTGGCTAATTTTGTATTTTTAGTACAGATGGGGTTTCACCATGTTGGCCAGGCTGGTCTCGAACCTCAAGTGATCCACCCACCTCGGCCTCCCAAAGTGCTGGGATTATAGGCATGAGCCACCGCACCCAGCCTTTTTATTTATTTATTTGTTTATTTTGAGATGGGGTCTCACTGTGTCTCCCAGGTTGGAGTGCAATGGTGCCATCTTGGCTCACTGCGACCTCCGCCTCCTGGGTTCAAGCGAGTCTCCTGCCTCAGCCTCCCGAGTAGCTGGGATTACAGGTATGTGCCACCACGCCTGGCTGATTTTTGTATTTTTAGTCGAGATGGGGTTTCATCATGTTGACCAGGCTAGTCTCAGCTCAAGTGAACTCCTGAGCTCAAGTGATCCTCCCACCTCAGCCTCCCAAAGTGCTGGGATTACAGACATGAGCCACCACACCTGGACTTATTTTTAGTTTTTTAGAGATAGGGTCTCACTCTGTTGCCCAGGCAGGAGTGCAGTGGTGTGATCACGGCTCGATACAGCCTCAAACTCCTGGGCTCAAGTGATCCTCCTGCCTCAGTCTCCCGAGTAGCTGGGACCACAGGCACGTGCCACCATGCCTGGCTAATTTTTTAAAATTTTTATTAGAGTCGGGGTCTTAGTATGTTGCCTAGGCTGGTCTCGAACTCCTGACCTCAAATGATCCTCCTGCCTCAGCCTCTCAAAATGCTGGGATTACAGGCATGAACCACCACACCCAGCCTGGCAACTTTAATAAAAAATGGCTTCTTTTGGGGGACCTCTGCAAAGGGGGTCAGGGAGAAAGAAATCAACTCTTACTGAGTGTTCAGCTTATTTTGACAACACAGCTCAGGAACTTATGGTTCCACCTTCTCTTAGAAACTGAGGCTTGGGGAGGGGACATCACTAGTTCAAGATCACGGAATTTTGGCAGAGTTGGAATCTGAAGCCACATTGGCCTGAATCCATTGCCAGCACCATACTACTTGCCCTCCAGAGACCTTAAATGGAGCAGTAACCATGAAAAGTGACCATCCCAGCGGGAGTGAGGGCCAGCCACGTGATGGAACACTCACTTTGTGAGTTTTGTCCCATCATATCCCTTGAGGTGGGAAATTACTCTTGTCTCATTTTGCAGATGAGGAAATTGAGGCACAGAGAGTTTCCTGTGTCCAGGCAATGGTGAGCTGGGTTTCAAGCCCCACCCCAGTTACCCCTTCACTTCTGCCATGAGTAATGAGCACAGAGATCTTCTGTGAGGGAAGAAATAGAAATCAGAGCTGGGGCAACATAGCAAAGTCCCCACCACAACAACAACAAAAATTTTTTTTGAGACGCAGTCTTGCTCTATCACCCAGGATGGAGTACAGTGGTGCAATCTCAGCTCACTGCAGCCTCCGCGTCCCGGGTTCAAGTGATTCTCCTGCCTCAGCCTCCCGAATGGCTGGGATTACAGGCTTGTGACACCACGGCCGGTTAGTTTTTGCATTTTTAGTAGAAACGGGATTTTACCATGTTGGTCAGGCTGGTCTCGAACTCCTGACCTCAGGTGATCCACCCACCTCAGCCTCCCAAAGTGCTGGGATTACAGGCATGATCCACCCTGCCCGGCCAAAGAAATTTTTTTATATTAGCTGAGTGTGGTGGCACATGCCTAAAGTCCCAGCTATTCTGGTGGTTGAGGCGGGAGGATCACTGAAGTCCAGCAGTTCAAGACCAGCCTTGGCAACATAGCAAGATGCCATTTTTACAAAAAATTTAAAAATCAGCTGGGCATGGTGGCATGAACCTATAGTCCCAGCTAACTGGGAGGCTGAGGCAGGAGGATCGATTGAGCCCAGGAGGTCAAGGCAACAGTGAGCCGTGACTGTGCCGCTGCACTCCAGCCTGGGCCACAGAGCAAGACCCTTCTCTAAAATAGAAAAAAAAAAAAAAAAAGAAGAAGAAGAAATATGAATCGTTCATTCCTTCATTTGCACTGAATGGCTCCTGCAAGGAAACAGGCCCTGTGGAAAATTAGCCAGGTTGAGTCCCAGGCAGGGGCCTCAGAGACAGACACAGGCCAGACACTGGCCCACTGGGCCCTGCACAAACTGCCTGTCACCTCCTATCCTTTCCCCCTTGCTCACTCTGTTCCGGCCGTGCTGGCCTCCTTGCTACTGCTCAGAAACACCAGGCACATGCCTGCCTCACGACCTTTGCACAGGCTGTACCCTCTGCCTGGAATGCTCTTCCTTCACATGTCTTCCTACCTCTTAAGTCTTTACTCAACTGGCACTTTCTCCATGAGGCTGTTCTGACTTCCCATCTATAAAAGGATCCCTTATCCCAACGATCATGCTCTATCTTCATACCCTGTTTCTGTGTCTTTCCAGCATTTATCACCACTTTACAATAGTATCACTATGCTTGCCATTAGCTGTTCTCCCCATTCAAATGGCAGCCCCCTGAGGGCAGGAATTTTGTCTGTTTTATACATTGCTGGGTTGCCACTGTCCAATTCAGTGCCAGGCACTCAAATACCTATTATGTGGCTGAGTGTGATGGCTCATGCCTGTAATCCCAGCACTTTAGGAGGCCAAGGCAGGAGGATCACTTGAGGCCAAGAGTTCAAGACCAGCCTGAACAACATAGCAAGACCCCCCCATCTTCATAAAAAATTTACAAATGAACTGGGTGCGGCATTGCACACCTGTAATTTCAGCTGCTTGGGAGGCTGATGCAGGAGGATCGCTTGAGCCCAGGAGTTCGAGGCTGCAGTGAGCTATGGTCATGCCACTGCATCCAGTCTGAGTGACAGGACAAGACCTGATTTAAGAAAAAAAAAAAAAACTTATTACGTGAAAGGGGGCACTGCACAGTGACAACAGCAAGTTCAGTGTGGCCCAAGCCTCCAGAGGTGAGATGTGCCAGGGGCCTAGAAGAGGGAGCAACTCTAGAAGTGCAGGAAGGAGGCCGGACGCGGTGGCTCACGCCTGTAATCCCAGCAATTTGGGAGATTGAGGTGTGTGGATCACCTGAGGTCAGGAGTTCACCAACATGGTGAAATCCCATCTCTACTACAAATACAAAAATTAGCCAGGCGTGGTGGTGGGAGCCTGTAACTCCAGCTACTTGGGAGGCTGGGGCAGGAGAATTGCTTGAACCCGGGAGGTAGAGGTTGCTGTGAGCCAAGATCGTGCTATTGCACTCCAGCCTGGGCAACAAGAGCAAAACTCCATCTCAAAAAAAAAAATGTGCAGGAAGGAGAGAGGATGCCCTGCCCGTGCACTTTCCCTGGTCTCCTGATATCTCTGAGCCTCAGTTTCCTCATCTGTAAAGTGGAAGAAAGAAGAGTACCCAAATCATGGGCTTATAGTGAGAAATGAGTAAGAAAATATGTGGACCGAGAAGCCACTGAATACATGTCAGCTTTTCTGTTCATATGTAAAGAGCACTTAAAAATAACTAACAGTTATTGAATGCTGGCTACATGTCAGGCCACTGCAATGTACTTCATGTAGATTCCTTCTTTTATATTTATATTATATTTATATTCCTTCTTTTATATTTGTGTATTTATTTAGAGACAGGTTCTTGCTCTGTCATCCAGGCTGGAGTACAATGGTGCAAATATGGCTCACTGCAGCCTTGACCTCCCAGGCTCAAACGACCCTCCCGTCTCAGCCCCCAATAATTTGGGACTACAGGCACACACCACCACAATGGCTAATTTTTGTATTTTTTGTAGAGTCGGGGTTTCGCTATGTTGTCCAGGCCAACCTCGAACTCCTGGGCTCAGGGAATCTGTCAGCCTCGGCCTCTCAGAGTGCTGGGATTACAGGCGTGAGCCATCGTGCCTAGCCTTATTTATTATTTATTTAGAGATGGAGTCTTGCTCTGTCGACAGGCTGGAGTGCAGTGGCACAATCTTGGTTCACGGCAACCTCCGATTCCCTGGTTCAAGTGATTCTCCTCCCTCAACCTTCCGAGTAGCTAGGATTACAGGCGCCGCCACCTTGCCTGGCTATATTTTTGTATTTTTCGTAGAGACGGGGTTTCACCATGTTGGCCAGTATGGTCTTGATCTCCTGACCTCATTATCCGCCCGCCTCCGCCTCCCAAAGTGCTAGGATCATAGGCATGAGCCACCGCGCCCAGCCTATTTATTTTTGAGACAGGATGTTGCTCTGTCCCCGGGGCTGGCGTGCAGTGGCATGATCATGGCTCACTGAAGCCTCGACCGGCTGGGCTCAAGCGATCCTCCTGCCCCAATCTCTCAAGTAGCTGGGACTACAGCCACACACCAGGCTGATATTTAAATTTTTTATAGAGAGGGAGTCCCACTATGTTACCCAGACTGGTCTTGAACTCCTGGGCTCAAGTGATTCTCCTGTCTTGGCTTCCCAAAGCACTGGGATTATAGACACGAGCTACCATGGCTGGCCTTTGATTCTTTTACTCCTCACAAAATTCATGTGAGACAGATCCAGTGGGTACCATTTATAGATGGGAAAATGGAGGTACAGAGAAATATAGTGACTTCTCTAAGGTCATACAGCTAGTAATAATCAAGGATGTGCAACCACACTTGATCGCCACACTGGAACATTAGCACAGACAAGTAGAAGGGAATCATCGTTATGTTCAGTTGGGGGAATGAGGAGGACAGGGAAGATGCTAGGGTGGCAGGGGGCAGGTGGCAGTCAAATGAGATGGAGGGAAGGCCCTCATGGCTCTCTCCCCTTCTCCTCAAAGAATCTGAGAGGCATCTGGGTGGCCCAGTGAGTTGGGGTTGATGGGGATTTGCAATCCATGAGCCCCTGACCAGCTCCTGCTTGTTTTGGCATTTGTTTCCTCAGGGCTGTTTCCATAAACTCCTCAAAATCATCAAGACTCAGAGCTTCACCCTGAGTGGGGGCTCTCTGGGAGCTGCAGCGATACAGGTAAGACCCAGCCTCCCTAGGGCATATTGAGCTGTTTTATTAAGGACCTACTGTATGCCAAACACTGTTCTGGTCACTGGGACACAGCAGTGAACAAAATACAAAGCTTAAAAAAGAAAAGAAAAGAAATAAACTCAACAAAGAAGAGCAAACTAAACCCAAATCAAGCAGAAGGAAGATACTAAAGATTAGAGTGAAAATAAATGAAATGGAGAAAATCAATAAAACCAAAATTTGATTCTTTGAAAAGATAAAACAGGTAGGGCATAATGACTCAGCCTGTAATTCTAGCACTTTGGGAGGCTGAGGCAGGAGGACTGCTTGAACCCAGGAGTTTGAAATCAGCCTGGGCAACATAGTGAGACCTCCCATTTCTACAAAAACAAAAATTAAAAAAATTATCCAGGTGTGGTGGCACATGCTTGTAGTCCCAGCTACTTGGGGGGCTGAGGCAGGGGGATCACTTGAGCCTGGGATATCAAGGCTAGTGAGGCATGATTGTGTCACTGCACTCCATCCTGAGTGACAGAGTGAGATCATGTCACCAAAAAAAAAAAAAAAAAGATAAAATTGACAGAACTTTAGTAGACTAAAGGGGGAAAAAAAGGGAAAGATTACTCAAATTACTAAAATTAGGAATGAAAGAGAGACATCACTACTGACCTTACAGAAATAAAGCAACTATAAGCGAAAAGTGTGAACCTGTATTCCAATAAATGAACTAAACTAGATGAAATAGACGAATTCCTAGATAAACACAAACTACCAAAACTGACTCAAGAAGAAATAGAGTATCTAAATAGGTCTACAACAAGTAATGAGATTAAATTAGTAACCAAAAAACTTCCCACAAAGAAAAGATCAGGCCCAGATATCCTCACTGGAAATATTACCAAACTTTTAGAGAAGAATTAACACCATTGTTTCACCTGCAAACTCTGCCAATAAAAAGGAGGAAGACATATTTCCTAGTTTATTCTATGATGCCAATACAAGATATTGCAATGACATAAGAAAGTAAAACTACAAGGCCGGGCGTGGTGGCTCATGCCTGTAATCCCATAACTTTGGGAGGCCAAGGCAGGTGACTCACGAGGTCAAGAGTTCGAGACCAGCGTGACCAACATGGTGAAACCCTGTCTCTACTAAAAATATAAAAATTAGCTGGGCGTGGTGATGCACGCCTGTAATCCCAGCCACTCGGGAGGCTGAGGCAGGAGAATCGCTTGAACCCGGGAGGCAGAGGTTGCAGTGAGCCACAGCCTTGGTGGCAGAGCAAAACTCCGTCTCAAAAAAAAAAAAATTATTATATCTTAATAAAAAGACAAGTAACCCAACTAAAATGGACAAAGGATTTGAATAGAGATTTTTATCCAAAGAAGGCATACAGATGGCCAGTAATCACATAAAAAAATGCTCTACCACCATCAGTCATTAGGGAAATGCAAATAAAAACACTTTATTCCCACTAGGATGGCTAAAGTAAGAAAGACAATAACAAGTGTTGATAAGGATGTGGAGATATTTGAACACTTACACATTGTTGGTGAGATTGTAAAATGGTGAAGCCATTTCCTAAAATATTAAACATAGAATTATTATTTGTCCCAGCAATTTCTCTCTTATGTTTATAATCCAAGATAATTGAAGACATGTATCCATACAAAAACCTTTATGTGAATGCTCATAGCAGGATTATTCATAATAATCAAAAAGTAGATGAAAAATTATGTGGCACTGGAGTCTGGGGAATATGGTCCGTAGGGTTCCGGGGAGGGCCAAAGTGGAGAGGATGGGCCAGGCGCGGTAGTTCACGCCTGTAATCCCAGCACTTTGGGAGGCCGAGGTGAATGGATCACCTGAGGTCAGGAGCTCGAGACCAGCCTGACCGACATGGTGAAATCCCGTCTCCACTAAAAATACAGAAATTAGCCAAGCATGGTGCTGGGCGCCTGTAATCCCAGCTACTCGGGAGGCTGAGGCAGGAGAATTGCTTGAACCCGGGAGGTGGAGGTTGCAATGAGCCAAGATAGTGCCATTGCACTCCAACCTGGGCAACAGAGTGAGACTCCTTCTCATATAAATAAATAAATAAATAAATAGGCCGGGCGCGGTGGCTCAAGCCTGTAATCCCAGCACTTTGGGAGGCCGAGACGGGCGGATCACGAGGTCAGGAGATCAAGA